GGCAGGCGGGAATCGAACTCATGCAGAAGTGGCTTTAGCTTCTCAGTGCTGTGCTTTAACCCGCTGCGCCACCAGGGAGGGCCCTTAATTTATTTATTACATCATTCTTCATCTTGTGCCTTTTTTCATCTCGGTTGTAATCCCCGTGGACTTCCCACCACCACTTCACTTGTGTGCCCTCACCATAGTCCCGTGCGCTCTTCCTAGGTAAATCCCTGCACTTCCAAACTGGCGTCTTGGGTTACATTCCCACCAGCACTGTCTGGGGGTCCTGTTTCCCTGCATCTCCCAGTACTTGTTGGGGGGTCTGTTCGACACGTGCCGCTCTCTGGGGTGTGAGATGACATCTCATTGTGGTACTGACCTGCATCTGCCTTGTTAAAAGTGATGATGAACATTTTCCTTGGTCCATGGGCCTTCTGGATATGCTCTTTAGTGAATTGTCCATTCAGATCTGCTGTCCATTTATGAATGAGATTGCTTTTATTTTTTAATTGAATAAAGTTTTTTGGATACTAACTCTTGTTGGCTGCATAATAGGTGAATAGTTTCTTCCATCAAAAAATGGAATTTAAGCCATCTAATGTGCGTGGCCAGATTGAGCCCTTGTACCTTCTCTGTGATCAGGTATGGCCAGATGACTGCCGGCAGCTATTGCTATATCGGTCCCCAGGGAATCGTCCACGGCACAGTGGTGAGAGATGGGGCCACCCCTGCCTCGGGGAGGGGAGGCAGCCCTGCTGGGAGTCACAGCCAGCACCTGCCTCCTTCCCTGCAGCTCACCGTGCTGAATGCCGGACGTCGGTACCTGGGCGTCGAGGATCTGGCCGGGAAGGTCTTCGTCACCTCCGGGCTGGGCGGAATGAGTGGGGCTCAGGCCAAGGCCGCAGCCATCGTGGGGTGCATCGGCGTGATCGCAGAGGTGAGCTCAGTGGGTGGGGGAAGGGGGACAGGGCTACTTTTCTCTCTCCGGTCTTCCATTGCCCTCCACATGGTTCCCAAAGTGTTTGCCTCCTACCTTCAAAGTGCTCATCACTGTCCATGGTCACTGCCTCTTGACCTCTCATCAAACTGATTTTTGGGGGCACCTCTTTCTCCCACCTAGTCCCTAGTGTGTAGCTGGGGGAGACTAAGTGGCGACTGAGTGCACACAGACCCCCCTCAGACAGGTCACAACCAAGGGGCGCACAGACGAGCTGTCTGTCGGCAGAGGGTGTCCAGGCAGCTTTCTCGGGGAAAAGAGGTGAGAGGCTCTGAGACAAGCTTTGTTGATACACCCCAATGGGAGGTGCACTCAGTTGTACTAAATCTGAGTCCTGCATACTTGTACTTATTAGGAGTCATTTGGCTGCAGGTAACAAAAACCCAACTACAGAAACTCACAAAAGTAGCAACTGGTTCACAACTCAGTGATGTCAGTGCCAACATCTCTAGAGTCTCTGTTCCCCTCTGGATACAACATGGCTGCCTCAGCCCCAGCCATCTCATCTGCATTCATGGCAGGAAGGAGGGAAAGGAGTACAGCCAATTTAGCAGGAAAATAATGTCTCAGAGACCCATTGGTCAATATTGGACCAAATGGATGTTCTGATGGTTCTTATCTGCAAGGGATAGTGGAAACAGCAGAAAGGAGAGTTGTGATAAGCTTGGAAGTGCTTTCCCTCCTGGGGCTGAGCACAATGTCACCCTGAACAGGAAGAATGTGGGAAGTCAGAGGGTCTGCGCTGACCTATGTTATAAAAGTGGGTGCTCTGTTGTTGGTCAGAATGTGGAGGAATTGGAACCCTGTGGACTGTGGGTGGGAAGGTATAATGGCGCAGCCTCTGTTGAAAACAGTATGGAAGCCCCTCAAAAAATTAAATGTAGAATTACCATATGACACAACAATCCCATTCCTGGGTATCTGCCCAGAAAAATTGAAAGCAGGGACTCAGAGAGGAATGTGAACACTCATGTTCACAACAGCATTATTCACAGTATCCAAGAGATGGGAGCCACTAAGTGTCCACTGGTGAATGAATGGATAAGCCACATGTGGCCTACACTCACAGTGGAATATTACCCAGCCTTGAAAAGGAAGGAATTCTGATACCTGCTACCACCTGCACAAACCTCAAGGACATTGTGCAGAGTGAAATAAGCCTGAAGTGACAGATGCCACGTTATTCCACGTGTGTGAGTTCCCTAAAGTAGTGAAAATTATAGGACCGAAAATGGAATGTTATTTGCCAAGGGCTGGGGGAAGTGGGAAAAGGGGAGAGGGTGCTTAACTGCCATAGAGTTTCAGACGTACACGCTCTGGGCAGGGATGGTAGTAATGGCTGTGAAACATGAAGGTATTTCGTCCCCTGGTCTGTATGCTGAAAAATGGTGAAGATGGCCCATTTTTTAATGTGTATTTTAACTCAATAAAATAGGTGATTTTAAAAAGTGGGTGACCTCTGTGGCGTCTAGTACCTTCTGGGGGAGGTGACCCACTCAGGATGATATACAACTGGGCGACCCTGTTTCTGGTGGCCCCAGGTGGATAAAGCAGCCCTCATGAAGCGCCACAAGCAAGGCTGGCTGATGGAAGTGACCGACAGCCTGGACCACTGCATCGCAAGACTCAGGTACACCTGCCGTGGGAGCAGTGGTATGGGGAGCGGCGAGGGTGGGGGGTGCGGGGCCACCCCACTTGGCTCCTTCAGTGCCTGCCCCTTGGGCGGGGGTGGCACCACTCCGGGCGAGCGAGAGGCGTGGGGGACACACAGCACACACACCCCTCTCTTCTCCCTTAACCTCCCTGCTGGCATCTCTCTGCCAAGCTCGGCCTTGGCACAAGCTCAAGCTGTGTCCTCCAGCAGGGGCCGCCCTCCCACCCCCACTCACTGCTGCCTGTTGGTGTCTCTCGTGCCCATCAGTATTCTAACATGTTCAGAGCTTCTGTCCAAATAGTGCTTTCATGTTCCTAAATAAAAGACACTTCTACAATTCTGGGATCACCTAGTACATTCTAGAAAGATCCCGTTGGCGTTCACCAGCAATAGCCCTAATTCTTCCAGTCGGGAAGTGGCCCCATTGTCGTGTCAGCCAGTTGGGGCCTGTTTCTCTTTACGCCTCTGTGTCCCCCGAGGCCCGGCCTCAGCCTCTGCCTCTGCGCCCCTGGGCAGCCTCCTGGCCACCTGCTGGGGTGGGGCGGGCATCTCGGCAGGTGAGGGGACCATCCCTGCGGCTCTTGTGTCTCCCTAGGGAAGCAAGGAAGAAGAAGGAGGTGCTCAGCCTCGGTTACCATGGCAATGTGGTGGATCTTTGGTAAGTGGGGGGCCGGGAATTGGCAGCCTTGGGGACCCCGGGTGACGCTCCCCTTCAGAGTCCTGACGAAAGACAGGGGCCCCCAGAACAAGAAGCTTCAAGCGCAGCCTGGAGACTCTGCGGCCGGCCTTCACTCGGGTCCTGGCCCAGTTCCTTCCCGCCCGGCTCTGCAGCCTCCAGCTTTCCAGGGGCAGGGTGGGCAGAGGGTGGGCTGGGCATGTGCTGTGCCCCCATCCCAGCTGGGCCAGAGGGTGCCGCCTTCAACTGACAGTGCAGAGGCTTCCCCAGGGAGCGCCTGGTCCACGAACTGGACGCGACGGGGGAGCTCTTGGTGGACCTCGGGTCTGACCAGACATCCTGCCACAACCCATTCAACGGTGGCTACTACCCCGTGCAGCTGGGCTTCACAGAGGCCCAGAGCCTCATGGCGTCTGACCCTGCTGCCTTCAAGGGCCTGGTCCAGGAAAGGTAACGCAGGCCCTGGGGTTGGTGGGGGAGGGGAGAGGCCCAGAAGCCTCAGTCAGGCAGCTCTGGCTGCTCCAGCTCTGCAGTGGCCCGCAGTGTGGCCGGCTGCGAGGCCCTCACTCTCCCAGACCTCTGTGTCCCGCTCTGTCCGAGGGGTCATGGTACATTTGCCTCATGGGAGGGTTGGGGACAAACTGGAGTGATATTTGTCAGACACCCAAGCAATTCTGAATACGCACTGATGCCAGGCCAGTGCGCACAGCACAAGCCTGAAAAGCCTTCTGGCAGGAGGGCATGCAAGCCCAGGCCTGGGTGCTGTGCCCTGGTGCCTCTGTGGCTCCTGCACCCAGCCGGGGCTTGCTGAGGCAGCTGCCGGCAGGCACGGACCCTGGAGAGGACTTAGACTTGGCAGGGGCCCCGGGTGGGGAGAGGCGGGCGGGAGCAGGCGCTCCAGGTAATGGAGGTGGCTGAGTTCCACGGGGGTGACAGCCGGGGGGCAGGAGGCCGGGCTGGAGGCCGCTCTGGTGACCGCTGACCTCTGGCTATTGCAGCCTGAGGAGGCAAGTCTCAGCCATCAACAGGTTGGCCGAGGAGAAGTTCTTCTTTTGGGATTACGGCAATGCCTTCCTCTTGGAGGCCCAGCGAGCAGGTGAGAGGAGGAGGCAGGGAGGGAGGGGTGCAGAGGGGGGTGGGCAGCCTCAGACCAGATAGGGAGGGCGAGTGCCAGCAAGTGTCCTTCTCTCCAGCTGGGGCGTAGCTTCTGAGGGAGGGAGGTCCCCATGAGTGCGCAGGGGAGATGGGGCCACAGCTGTCGTCCTCTGCAAACTGAACCTTCGGCCAGGGCTTTCCCTTCTTGGCCTCAGTTTCCCCATTGGCTCCCTGAGCAAAGCACATATAAAGAGTAGGGCCATGACTTGGCAAGGAACTCAGGTGCTGTCGGAAAATGCAGTTTCTCTTTTGAACAGCAGGTGATTCGTGCACAGAATGTAGCACCCAGAAGATGTGAAGGTGCAGGGAAGCCTCTTCCCGTATCCCTGCACACCCCCCCCCCCGGGAGGTGCCTGCTGGTGCCTTCTGTGCAGGGGGTGGCTGCCCCGTGCTTTCTCTCCTTTCACCTAAAAGGAGGCCTTGCTGATGCTCCTCTGTCTCAGCAGAGCCCTTTCCCAGTCTCCCTGGGCCCGTTAAGTCGCCGCCTGGCTGGCCAGCCAGGCACAGGGACAGGCGTGGCCCGGCCCTCCCGGTGACTTGTGCGGGGCTCTGTCCACAGGCGCTGACGTGGAGAAGAGAGGAGCCAACAAGACAGAGTTCCGCTACCCCTCCTACGTCCAGCACATTATGGGGTGAGTGAGGGGCTCCTTCCAGCGTCCAGGTCCTGGGCGTTCGGGCTGGAAAAGCCGTGTCCTGTCTTCTGACCACGCTGAAGCCACACACTGACACCCGCATGTGGGTCTCGAATTTCTGACAAAACTGGGGTGAGAGGGAGCCGGGATTTTCTGCGGGGCTTCCACAGAGGCTTGGGGGAGGACCTGAAGTGGAGGTCACTTCCCGGCGAACACCCCAACTGTCACGTGTCCTTGACCCTGAGTGCTGTGTCCTGAGCTGCCACGCCCAGGTCACTGTCGTGAGCCTCGCATGGGTGGCCCAGGTGGCTCGGAGCCGACTGGCCAGTCGCATGGGCAGGTCTGAGGGAGCCGGGGCCCAGGACAAGTCTGGAGATGTGGAGGTCAGAGAGGGCACTCAGGCTGAGGGTGGAGGCTTGAGGGCCAAGCCTGAGTGTGAGCAGGGGTGGGGACGCCTCGCAGTGCTTTGGGGAGACTCCCTGCACGCAGAATGCCACCGGGGAGGGAGGGGGCAGCGTCTTCCACAGGCTGTTGTGGACAGGGAGGCTGAACCAAGGGGCTGGGCCGTCAGCCACGGCGCAGGGGACAGCCAAGGGAGGGCCCTGCTGGGTTGGGGGAGTATGGCACCCCAGGGAGGACCCAGCCCTCTGTGGGAGCTGACCGCCCTAGAGCTTGGTCACCCAGAGGGGCCAGTTCACCTGGGCAAACGTGGCCAAGTCCCCAAGGCTCCCTCCTATCCCTTCCTAGCTGGGGTACAGCCCCCCAGAATGCCCCAAGGTCATGTGGCGTTCTGTCCTGGCAGGGACATATTCTCCCAGGGATTTGGGCCCTTCCGCTGGGTGTGCACATCGGGGGACCCCCAGGACCTGGCGGTCACGGATCAGCTGGCCACATCTGTGCTGGAGGAGGCCATCGCCTATGGAGGTGATGAGGCGGGGAGAAGCTTGCGGAGTGGGCAGACCCCCAAGCTAAATGCCACACGCCAGCCCCCGGCCGGCGGCACCTCGGATCCCTGTGGCATGTGCTGTCCTGCTGCCCACCTCGGCCAGGCCCGTCTTCTTGTCCCGCCGCCCCCAGTTGCTGTGGTGACACGGACACAGCTGTCACGGGTTCTGCCTGTCCCTGCGGATGGTGGGGGCCTCCGGGTCTCCCCGCTGCAGCCTCGTGTGCCCGCAGTTCCACCTCACGTGTGGATGTGACCTGTCACCTCGGGGACAACACCAAACAGCTACCTGTGAAACTCGCGGGACCTGCGGCACCCTGTCTCTGCAGCTCTCCGGTTCAGGGGTGGCCTCTCCCGGCTCTCTGTGAGGGTCCTTTGGCAGCTGCTGCTTGTTCATAGTCCAGGGGCTGTGGCGCCTCTGACTCCCGCCTCCTGCCTCCCTGCAGTGAACCCGGCCGTGAAGATGCAGTATGCGGACAACATCCGCTGGATCCGGGAGGCTGCCAGGCACCGGCTGGTGAGTGCGGCCTGGCCGGGGCGGGGCTGCGCCCTGGGCCACCCACCCAGCCGTGAGGTGCTGCATGCCTGCAGCCATGCCTGGGCAGTCCCTGTCTCTGTGCACATCCCTGGGGGACGGCTTAGGCGGCATCACTGGTCTCACTCACAGGCCACAGGACAGAGAAGTCAGGGCCCTCTTGAAGCTTGTCCTGGGCCTCTCGACACCAGCTGGAGCATGGCATCGGTGGAGCATGGCACCTGTGTGCCGTTGCATCTCACAGGCTGCCGAGTACCTGTCTCTGCCCCTTCTCCCCGCAGGTGGTGGGCTCCCAGGCAAGGATTCTGTACTCAGACCAGAAAGGCCGAGTAGCCATCGCTGTGGCCTTCAACCAAGCCATCGCCTGTGGGAAGATCAAGGTCAGGGCCTGTGGGGGGGGCAGGGGGGGTGCCGGCACTGCCCTGCCCCATGGCCAGACCTGGGGCGGGAGGTGATCACTAGGACAGGGGCTCTGAGGCCTGTCCTCTGGGGACAGCAGCCCCAGCCTGGGCAGAAAGCACCCGGGCATGCAGCAGCCCAGCCAGACATCTGGGCTCGCCCCCATCCAAGCTGCAGTCGCCAGTAGCCAGAGAGCTGGACACTGTAATCCGTCCACTGCTCTTTCCTTCCTTCATTCGACAACACTTACCCTAAGGCCTCCGCTGCCCAGGTGTGCTCTAAGAGATCACGCCAGGCAGATCTCCACCTGGCATTCCTAGCAAAGGGAAACTGATGATGTACCGCTAAAGGTACACATTCCGAGGGCATTTCAGAAGGCGAGGAACCAAGGGGACAGGTAGGGTTGAGCAGTGGCCAGCGCAGGCCCTTCTGAGCTGCTGGCTTAAGTAAAACTATGCCCGAGTCTCTGGAAGGTGCTGGAAATCCCTCGGACAGGCAGGTCAGGGCAAAGGTGAGGAGGTGGCTCCTGGCCGCTGGTGTCTAGTGTACCACGTGGGGTCAAAATCCCTGCCTGTGGCATACTGCTGTGTGACGCCAAGGGAGTCTCTTGTCCTCTCTGGGCCTTGGTTCTTACACCCACACATGGAAATGGCTGTAAGTGTCCGGACACATCGTTGTGGTTCCCTTGGGACACCACTGAATGACCAGGGCTAGTCACCAGGGAACCGGTCTGGTGACTGAAGGTTTGGGCCGTTCATGGGGTCCCCACCACCCCATCTGCTATCAGGGAGATGAGCTCCTGGGCGTGTAGGAAATGCCAGAGCAGTAGAACGTGTAGCTAAACTTCAGAACGTCTGCGCTCCCTCTTGCTGAAGAAGGGGAGGTGTCCATAGGACTTCTGGGGTGCCCTGGCCCTTGACCTCTGCCCTCCATGCACACCCTTGGCTTTTTTATCACACGCAGGCACCCGTGGTCCTGAGCAGAGACCACCACGATGTGAGTGGCACAGACAGCCCCTTCCGGGAGACCTCCAATATCTACGACGGCTCTGCCTTCTGCGCAGGTGAGGCAGACGGTGCTTTTACAAGCCCTTGTAAAGGGTGGATCTGGGTTTTATTTAAAAGTGAACTGATTGGTTCAGTTAGTCATGGTGATGTGCTGACAGGCTGGGCATAGAGTGCCCAGGAGGAAACAGGCCTACCCCCTTTAAGTCTTTGTTCTTGCGGGCGCTTTATCTGCATTCAGTACCAGAGAGTGCCTCCCCAGGAGAGGGTAAGGTAGGTAGCCATGGACCTTGGTCTGGATCTGTACGTTGCTTTGTCTGCTCAGCCCCGCAGGAAGGGCGAAAGCCCTCCACAGCCTCCTGTCCTCGGTTTCCTACCTGTCCTTCGGGCCTCAGTGGCCACCTCAGCCAGTAGGGCCAGCTGACGCCCACTGTCCCCCCGCCTCACCCGGCCTGCCCCTCTGAGCCCTCCCTCAGGGAATGACCAGTGGGCTCTGTTTCTGCAGACATGGCCGTGCAGAACTTCGTGGGAGATGCGTTTCGTGGAGCCACCTGGGTGTCTCTTCACAATGGTGGAGGTGTTGGCTGGTAAGAAGGATTTGGAGAACTGGGTGGTACGATTTGGGGCTCCTGTGAAGTCTTGAGGGACCCCTGCTAGTGGCTTGCTGTGCCGTGTTCTTCATGTGAGGGAGAGCCTGTGGAGGCCTGGGAGGCACCTCGCACTCTTGGGATCGCACCTGTTCCACAGGTAGGTGCTATCAGCACAGTGACCGCCCCTTGTGAGGGTTCCCATAGTGACATAAACATGGGGCAGGTGTTGTGTGGGGAATTCACAGAGCACTGTCTGGCCCAGGTCTTCCATCGCCGCTGGGGTTCCCAGGTGGCTGGGCCGCAAGGTGGGAGAGTGGGTTCTGGGCTCCCCCCGGGTGCCAGACTTACAGCTCTGCTCCTGCCAGGTGTCCCTGTCTGCACCACAAGGAAATTGGGGGTTCTGGGAGGTCTCACTCCAGCTGACAGTTGCAAATCTGTAGTGAAGATGCCCCTTGTAATTCTTCACCCCAATTCCAAACATGTGGGAGTTGCCCCACACCTCCAACCAATTTTAGACATGGACTGGGTGAACTACAATCCAACTGAATCCCGAAACTAACCACCCAGCGGGAGTCGGGTCCACTGGGAAAATGGGCTCATTCTCCCAACACTGCCCACCTCTTCCCTTGTCCAGGCAGTCTGATAAATCAGAGGTTCCCACCACGCCCTCTGCAGTGCCATTAATTTGCTAGAGCAGCTCACAGAGCTCAGGAAACCTATTTTCTCTCGACTATGGTTCATTACAAAGGCTATTGAGGGATGAGAATCAATAGCCGGATGACGAGATAAAGGGGTGAGACCCCCAACAAAGGAATTGCTGTCCTGATGGAGTTGGAGATCGGTCCTCTGGCTCACCATCCAGGAAGCTGTCCAAGCCCCACCCCCTTTTTTTTTTTTTAAGATTTATTTATTCATACAGAACTGGGGTGCAGGACAGACGTGCAGGGGTGGTGAACAGAGCAGGGAGCAGAACAGGCAGATCAACGAAGTACACTGCTGAGGGGAGCAGCGGGCCAGGAGAGGTCTGCCGCGCCATGTGGCCACCTCCGGGGCAGGCGGGGATCGAACTCATGCGGAACTGGTTTCAGCTTCTTAGTGTAGTGCTTTAACCCGCTGTGCCACCAGGGAGGGCCCCAAGCCCCCCTTTTTTTGGGGTTTGTATGGTGGCTTCATTACGCAAGCACAGTTAAGTAAACACTGATCATTGATGATCAATTCAACCTCTCGCCTCCCTCCCCATACAGGAAGTGGGGCAAGAGGGACCCTAGGAAATTCAAAACTTAAGTCACAGGTTGGTTCCCCTGGCAACCAGTCCTGGTCTTTAAGTGGAATCCAAAAGGAAGCTCATTCACTTAATTATTGCTCCATCACTAAAAAATCCCAAGAGTACTTTTCTGGGAGTACTTTTCCAGAAACAGGGATGAAGACCAAATACACATTTCTCATTACAAACTGAAATATCACACCCAATGCTAAGAATGAATGCACAATATTTATGGTACATGGATCTGATGGCAAACTTCTGCTAATCTTCTTGACTCCATCCTCTCACCTAGTCTTAGAAGGAAAATCATTTCAGAAATAAAGACACAGGTATGGGAAGTTATCCAGCCACACCTGCTGTCAGTCAGCCTCTGCCCAGGTTACCCGGGGACACTCCCAGCCCAAGCCAGAGTCCTGGGGGCCCTGAGCAGCAGGAGCCGCTGTGGCTTCAGTGGAGACAGCTGCCCAGGCCTGGCCATCTCTGAACTGACCTCGAAGCTGTTTTGGCTGAATCACACCTGGCCTTGCCCTTCAGAGCCAACTCTTCCGGCACTCGGCTTCCTAGATCATTCCAATGGGCTGGGCTGGCCTTGCGCCCTTCCAGGCCAGAATTCCGAGCTGCAGCACAGTCAGATGGCTCTAATTAGTGGAAGAGGTGACAGAAGCCTGTGTCCTTTCTGATGCACCAGCTGGGTAAAACAGAGAAGAAGGCCTGGTTCTTGAGAAACTAGTGCTTCCAGGCCAGTTGGTCCTAGAGGTGAAGAAAGGATAAGTCTGAGGAGGCGAGTAACTTGCCCAAGGCCACAGAGGTGGTGACAGACTCAAGACGAGATCTTGACTCCATCTGTTGTCTCCCGGGATCCACACATCATGGTCAGCTGGCCAACAGAAGGCAAGAAAAGGCAGCACAGGGCAGCCCGGGAAACAGGGCTTGACCCAAGGGCCTGGGTGCAGGGCACATGGGCTTCATGGGGGACATTGCTGGCTGTTGACCCACTGCGCACAGGACTCCTGAGAAAGGGAACGCTCTTCGTGAATTCTCGCGTGCTCTCATCCCACGCCACCCCCACGCCAGGCTCTGTGGGGGGCTCAACAGGCTGGCAAGATGCTGGTACCCTGGGGCTTTGTCTGGCTGTCCTCAGGGCTCTGTTGGGAGAGTGCCTCAAGGTCACCTTGGAATTCGACTTATGCACGCGTGTAATTCAACCCATCAGATACTTCTTCGAGGCTTACCACAAAAATCAGCAGGAAAAAATCTGTCCCACGACTATCAGTACTCCCAGAGGAAAGCGGTGCTAACTCTTCAGCTATGTTTCTTTCAGTGCACATAAACACACGTTTCTAAATTAGAAGCACCCCCACTGTTTGCTTTCCATCCTTCATATTGTTATTATAGGTGCCTCTTTGGCGGCCCCTTATGTTTAGGGACTAGACAAGCTGGGTCAGCTGCAGGTGATCACTTACCCCTCCCTCTGCCGCTGTCTCCTGGCCGCTGGTTTGCCTGCTCAGGGTCTCTCCATGTTTTGAGAGGGAGTGGGCAGGCTGGCCGCAGCCTCATGGCTTCTGGATCAGGGGCCCAGTGTGGGAGAGGTCAGCGGTCGGTCTTGTGTCTCAGATTGGCTGGAGCACTCAGGAGCCCTTCCTGTTCCCCTGTGCTTACAGGGAGACGTCAGTCAGTTCTGGGAGCTGAGTGTTTGGTATTGAGCCTTTTCCTTAAAAAAATCCTGGTTTTCATGTCCATGCTTTCATCCTCCTCTCTGCCTCTGTCCTCACACCAGATCAAGCCTGGGGGCTCATGTCATTGAGGAATTAGTAGAGTATCAACTCTAGATGGTTTCCAGCAAGCATTTTAACCTGTGAACATATTCTTGGCATCCTTATTAACCATGAAGGCAATTTTGCTGTAAAAGAGAAAAGAACAAACAATTAAAAGATGGACATGCAGAAGAGTATCCCGAAACGTGTTAAAAAGTAGTGGCAAAACAAAGGAGACAACATAGAGAATATTTAAGTACATTGGAGAAGGTGTGCTGAGGTACGGCGTTCAGTGCAGAGAACTGGTTTTCTTTTGTGGGTGCCATCCTTGGCTACCCCCAAGTCTCCCACTCACTCATAGACACTCGAAGCATACAGAGTATAAAGACAGGGCTGTGTGTGTGAAGACAGTAACATTGTGCAAGGAACTGGTTTCTCGTTTCATCCGTGGAGAAATGAAGCCGTCAGCCAGGTAGTTCTTTTTCTCTTTTATGACAAAATTGCCTCACAGCCAATGAGTTGTGTGTCGAAAATGCTCATAGCGAAACTATCAGATATTCCCTATATCCATCTGCTGTCTTTATCCAGACACAGACACTTTTCTCGTGCTCAGCAATGTCTGAGAGCACGTCTCACACTTCAGTGAGCCCAGAAAGCCCCCACAACTCAGTCGGCTTGTTAAACTCCATGTTCTACCTCCACAGCTGGGCGTGAGGTAGAGCCCAGCATCCCTGCACCTCCCTGGAGATGCCTGAGGACCCCCCTCTGGAGCAGGGGCTCAGAATGCGCTCTCCATCACGCACACAGCTCCCCACCCCTCCCATGTAGCAGGGAATCTCTTCACTTTCTGGCAAGATTGGGAGTGTGGATTCTGAAGTCAGTAAGTCCGCCCACATTAAGTTTGCTGAGCTTTCTCATGGACAAAAGGGTCATTGTTAAAGCAGCTGCTCCCTGGGCAGGTGGTGGTGACGTGAATGACTAATAGCCACCGCCGGTAGAATGCCTGAGAAAGCTGTGGCTCATCTGATCACCACCACATCCACCAGGGTGACCCAGAGAGGATCAGCAGCTTTGTTCAGACTTTGCAGAAATCTAGGGCCGCTGGCCAAAATGCACATGCTAGTTACCCACCAGCAGACACTTGTAAGGATGTGGCACACCTCCCGTAAACATTACCCTTTATCACGTGCATGCCAGTTACCATCACAGGTTCCAAACAGGTGGACGTTTTAAACTCAGAAGGCCACCACCAGTTTTCCTAAATAAAAGCTCCAACTTGCATGACCTCGGTAACACTGGCTATTATCTCAGTTTTAGCATGGGAACTGCCAGGCTGGCGGGGCAACAGATCCTTGTTTAGTTTCAACTTGCTCCCGGCCAGGTTTTTGTTTTTGAATCTTGTGCTTGTTCTTTTGGATTTGCAGGCATTCTTGGGCTGTTCTGGATTTTTAAAACGTGCGGGCACTGGGTGCGTGTTGCCTTTGAACTTTGTTCTTTGCATCAGTGCTGGCTTGTTGCTCCAGGAGGCGGATGCACAGGAGGAGTTAGGAGTGTACAAAAGGCAGGAAAAGGAGATGGGGGAGCAGGATTGACTGGGGGAACCCGGTGCAGACCCAACAGGCTAGCCGGCTGCCAAGGGGCTACAGAGCCAAGGTGGAGAGGAACAGGGCAGCCCCTGGTCCCTGGCATCTCACCTTCTCTGGGTGAGAAGGACCCTCAGCATGGAACCTCGCGGAGCTAGGGCCCAGGAGTGACCCGAGTGGCCTTTGCATCTTGCAGGGGCGAAGTGATCAACGGGGGATTTGGCCTTGTGCTGGACGGGAGCCAGGAGGCCGAGCAGAAAGCCAGGATGATGCTTGGCTGGGACGTGTCCAACGGAGTAAGTCGCCCGGCCTCTGCCCTCGTCATGGTCCCTCTCTGTCCCTTCAGACTGTGGACTGAGCCAGCGCTCTGGCCCCTTCTTCCCCAGAAAACGTGGGGGGCCCCTGCTGCAGCTCTCCTGCCTGTTCACGCCTCCTTGGCGGATGCCCCCTTCTCTCCAGGGCTTTGTCCAGAGGCTTCTTCATGTCCACTCACCTCCCCGCCTCTGGCCCTGCACCTCCATCAACCCCTTGTCACACAGGAAGGGAGGCCTATTCTTCCCAGCAAGAGCACCCCCACTTTGGTGCAGAGGGGCCACCTTGGAAAGTGTCTTTCCACATTCTGGGGAGGCACAGGGAGGGTGGGCGTCTCACAGCAGAGCTGCCTCTGGGGGTGCAGCTACACGTGACGCGTGTGTGCCGGGGCCCACATGGGCAGCCGGGAGGGGAAGCGGCAGAGGCGGGAGGGCAGGGCTCCTGGGGAGGGCGATGTGCATGTGCCTGTGAAATGGGGGAGGGGGGGCCTTGGGGAGCCCAGTACAGCGGCCCGAAGTTTTGACACAGGGTGACGGAGGGGTACCCAGGCGGGGCCCAGAATGGAGGGGGTGAGTCACGAGGATCTCCCTGGCAGTGGGGTGGGGGGGTGAGGGCTGGGTTGGCAAGCCGGCAGCAAGCAGGTAGCAGGTGCCGTGGCTGTGACCCTGGGGGACAGCGGGGCCAGGTGGCCCGAGGAAGCGCCCTGCAGGGACACTCTGCAGGGCGCACTGCAGGCAGGGTGGGGTCTGAGGAGGGAGCCGAGGGGTGCTGAGGCTGTCTTCTGGGTACCTGGCCTGGCGCCTGTGCGTGAAGATGGGGAGGAGGGCTGGGAGGATGGCGACTTCCAGGGGGAAAGCGCTTGTCCGTAGTCTGGCCAAGAAGAGGGGGAGGCGAGTGGGGGCGGCGGAGCGTGCTGGCCAGAGCCCCTGAGGCGGAGGGGCCGGGGCTTTGGGGCCCGCAAAGGCTGCCCACACTGTCTTCTCCGTTGATGCTGGAAACGGGGTGAGGCTGGTGCCGGCCCGAGCCCACTGCCCTCTCCCCGCCTGCTGCCAGGTGGCCCGGCGTTGCTGGTCTGGGAACCGCAAGGCCTACGAGATCATCCGCCAGACCATGCAGGAGAACAAGGGCTTGGTGGTGACGCTCCCGCAGGAGGTGGTGGATGAGCAGATGCTCCAGCAGGCCTTGCGGCAGTGAGCCAGAGCCCAGGCCCAAGCCGGCCGCCGTCCCCCACCCGCCGTGGCCTCCTCCCCTCGCCCCCACCCTCGTCACCTTCCCCGCACACCTGCAGCATGCGGTCTCGGGAGCTGTGCTGTGTACGCGCCCTGGAGGTACCACGCTGTCCCTAACTCAGGCAAGAGCTGCCTGGGCCCAGGGGGCCACTGGGAAGTCACAGAACAGACTCCAGGAGCCGTTCAGTGCCACGAGACTGACTGAGCCAGGCGTCCGCCAGGCCCCTGCCAAGGGGAGCAGGGTTTTGCCAGTCGCCCTGTCCGCCTCGCGTTAATCCCAGAGGCTGTGCCTCAGTCGTCGGACAATGTGTTTGTCTGTGCAGCACCCGGCTCTGGGCAATCGGAGGGACCTGCCCAGGCCCTGAACTTGGAGGGTCCAGAGAAAAAGATAGGGAAATAAAGGCTTGACCAAAAGGGTGTACCGTGTCGTGGGCAGCAGCGTGGACCCTGGTGGAGGGAGTGGGCAGGCTGGTCTCTGCCCTAAGAGAATGATGGGCAGAAAGAGAGGTGGGTACTCCTCGTGGCCAATCCTCTTGGGACACTGGCTGTGTCACCTAGGACAGAAGTCTTCCAGGAGGCAAGTTGGGCCTGAGGCTGGATCTTGAGCCTCCCTCTACCCCCAAAGTCCAGTAATGGCTG